GGCGGCCGCCGGCCTCCCGCGGCTCCAGGCGCAGGCGCGGGCCCCCGCCGGGGCCTCCCAGGCGGCCTGCTGGGTCGAGGAGGGGAGGGGGGGGTCGGGGGTCGCGGCCGGCGCCCCCCTCTGGGGGGGCGCAGATCCGCCACGCGCCGGGGGGGGCGGGGGGGGAGGGGGGGGAGTTTCTCAGAAGCACCCCTGCTTCCATCAGGGCGCGGGTTTCGTCCATGGGTGTCGGGCTCGCGCCCTGTAAGAAGCAGCCTCCTTCTCCCAGGTCCTAGGAAGCCTCCCCCCCTCCCCCCTGCCCCCCCCTCGGGGGATCGGAACAACGGAGGGCTCCAAAACAGTGATCCTCACGAGCGGGGGGGGGGGGCAGAGGCGGGGTCGGATAGGAATCGTTCTCCAAACGCCTCCCGGGGGAAGGACATGTGAGCACTTAGCTGGGTTCGTTCCCTGTCACCACCCCCAGAGGCAAGGGCGCAGCTGGCGCCCCGTCGGGGGAGCGAGCGAGCGAAGGGGGGAAGGAACCGAGGTAGGGTCAGAGGAAAAACGCCAGAAGAAGACTCCATCGAAGGAGGAGGTGTGAGGAGAGAGGAGGAAGGGGCAGCCGACGCCGCGGACGGGCGCGCCCCAGTGTGCGCCAAAGACAGCGAGGGGGGAGGAGGGAATAGCGGGGAGGGGGGGGCAAATTATAAAGGGTCAGAAGCGACGGGGGCACTTTCCAGCATCAAGGAAATAGCACAAGTCACTGCTGTTCAAACGAGATTGGCGCGCCTCGTCGGCCGGCACATGCAAGCCATGCGCCAGACAACGACATCTCAAGTAAAGCCGCATGGCAGCATAGAACTCAGTGGGGCACGCATCACTCACTTGCATGCTCAACTTTGATGTTCCTCTCGCCTGCTGCTCCACGAACATAGCGCGTGAAATCAACCCTCTCGTTCGCATGATGAACTACGTCGCATTCGCGAACTTAGTTCGCGAGATGCAAGCGCGCATCATCCCCTGTCTTCGTTGGGGCCGTGAGCCGCAGCAACGTTGTCAGCGCGAGCCTAGGTCGCCAGTTCGGCTGCTGCTTCGCCACCAGCAGCGCGATGGCGCGCGAGCCTGCGCTTGCTGAACGCGCGCGCGCGCGCGGAGCGGTCGCGTTCCTCCCCCCCATGGCAGCCAGGGAACTCTCAGTGCACAGGGGCGCTGCAAGGATGCCGGCACGTGACATTTCAGCATGGACTGCGCGGGCGAGCCCTCTCGGGCATTGCGCCAGCACGCCTCGCACGAGTAGCGCGCGCTCTCGGCGGCCATCGCGCTTCTGATTTCGCCCCCCGCAGCCCTGGAGACCGCAGCAAGGAAGACTGCCGCTTCGACGTCGCATTCGCGAACAGAGCTCGCGAGATGCAAGCGTCTCGGGCGGCGGCGTAGGTCCACGGTGCCCTGGGCAAGCCGTTCGGCCATCCTCCCTGGCCAGACGCGGGCGTCGATGCTGACGCGACCTTCGACGCGCGCGCGGGCGCGCCTGCTGGCGCCCCCGGGATTCGCGAACTGCTAGCGGATCTCTGGGGCGTTGGAGACCAAGCTGGTGCTCTCCCCCAAGATGCCCCCCGAAGATCTCGAAGTCAGAGTCGGCGCTGGTCGAAGATGACGCGTTGCACGCCTGGCACCACCAGCACCTCTGATCTTGGCGGCTCGTCGCGCAGCCGCCATGGGTCAGGCTGCGCGTTGGCGGAGTCGCCGCAGCGCTGCAGCTGTAGTTGCGCTGCATTGCCGCAGAATCGGCCGCGCGGGGTCGCGCCCTCCGAGGAGCAGCCGGGCGCGGCCGCTGCGCGCACAGTCAAACATAGCCCATCGACGGACATGCCGGCAGGCGGGAGCCATGATAACCACTAGGGGCCAGCATCGTCGGACGTTCCTCTCCGCGGCTCTCTGCTAGCACTCCCCGATTAGGTCGCCGCCCGTGACCGCGCAGAAGTTGGCGCCTGCCCCGGGGCGGCGGCGGGCAGAAAGTCCGCTGGCCTGGCCCGCGCCCTCCCCCCCCACCACCACCCACTCACACCGCCGGCCCCCACGATGTCAGCGCCATGGTCAATGGAGGCGAGGCAGGTGAGGAGGTGCTCAATGTCGTCGAACTTCGTGGACCGCGGCGTTTGACTGCTTGCCAGATGGCGATATGATGCCGGAGCCTGCGAGGTTGCCGCGAAATTCGCCTGCGTCGCGCTCGTCGGTTTGGCCCTAGAAGATGCGGCGCCGAGCCCGTGAGGTCGGCGCCGCCAATCGTCACGGTGGACCTCGACGACCTGTTCACGCGCCTCGGGCGCGTGGTCCTCTCTTTTTCTCGCCTTCGGGCGCGCGCGCTCTGCCGCGGGGAAGGCGCCGACGACGCAGTCGCCAACCCCCCCCCCGACAAGTTCGGGGCAGGCCCGGGGCAAAGGGGCCTCCAAACCCGCGTTTGCTGGCCTTGTCTGAGGGCGCGTTCAAGCGCAAGTTGGTTGGTGTCGCATTGCTGGTTAATGTCGTCGCGCGGCCATGAGCGCGCCGCTCGGCGCCCTCGTCCTGGGCGCGCCGCTCGGCGCCGCGCTTGCCCGTTGCCATAAGACAGGGCGAGGCGTTCGAGCCCGGTGCTGAAGCTGCTGCTGCGCCTCCTCGAAAGCGCACCTTCCGCCGCGCGCTCCTGCTCGTTGAAGTGCAACTGCAGTAAGGCGCGAGAGGCAACGCGTCGCGGCGAATCGTGCCCAAGCACGCGCGTCGATCGGCGGTCGCCCAGTCGCGGTCGCGCCCACCAGCTCGACGCTGCAACGGCATATTTAGCTGGCGGAAGATGGGCGCGCCAAAGCGCCATCGAGGCGACGTCGCCGCGCTTGTCCTCTGGGGCCAAAAAATCATGATAAGTCCAAGGTCGACGGGGCGCGTCGCGTCGGCGCCGGCCACCCGCTTCGCGGCCGGGCGTCTCCCGGGCACGCCAATCGGAAATGGGGCGAGGGGGTGGGCGAACCTCGCCCCTGTTCGCGTCGCCCGCGACCCACAGCACGCAGCGGCTTGCGCCGGGAAGCTCGCCGCCGGAAAATGACCCGACAGCGCCCTCGAAGTCGGCGGAGCGGACGACGTCGCAGCCCTGACCCTGTCGCGGCTGCGACATGCCCCGCCCTCTGGCCCGCTGCCCGCTCTTGCTGGGGCAGGTCGGCGGGGCGAGCATTGCGGGCTGACCCGCCCGTCTCAAAGCCCCTTGGAGTCCTCGACGCCAAAAGTGCCGAGAGACCCAACGGACGACGCGCGGCCTACTTCTCCCGGGACCGGGTCGTTGCCGAGGCGCGTCGCGCGCGCGTTCCCAAAGCTTCTGGATGCACGGAGGATTTGAGGAGGGTTGGGAACGGCCGCGATCTCCGAATCGTCGACGAGGCGTTCCGGGACGAGCCGGGCGACCCGACTGCCTTGCTCGGCCGCGCGGGGCCGCGGGAGAGAGTTGGTCAGAATTACTGACCTCTCCTTGGTAGTCGGGGCCCACCGCGCCGCCCGCAACGTCGATGCCTCTGCGGGCGAGCCCTGGGCGCGGGGCAACTCGCCAGCAAATGCCTGGCGGCGCGAGAGCGGCCGCGCCCGTGGACACCAGCTCCCAGCTCTGACCAGCATGCATAACGCAATCATCAAAATCCCCCCCCCTTCGAAGGGTCGCCAAACCACTCGGCCAGCAGCGCGGCGCCCTCTGCGCGAAGGCAGCTCTGCGCAGACAAACGCAATGAGAACTCGTTTCGAACCCGCGGCGTCGCCGCTCGCTCCAAACGTAAAACACGCACGCAACATCTGGCAACGGCACGTTGAATCTAGCGGTGGCGTCGCAAACAAACAACGCCGCGCGCGGGCGGCGCACTCCGCGGACGGCGGCTGCACAATGCTGGCGCCGCCGTCGACCGCAGGGGGGGGGCCCGCGAAATCGTCGACCCAGCGGAGGCCCCCTGCCTCGCTGACACAGGCACCGCTGTCGGGCGCCATCGCACCATGGCGATCTGGAGGCCCTAGAGACCCCCCGCCCCCACCTGCAGTTGCCGACCCAGCTTCGCCCGACGTGTCGCGGCGCTCGGTGCCTCGGAAACATGCATTGCCCCCCCCCTCTCCTGCCTCGCCCCCCCCCCCCCGCGCCCTGTCTCCCGCCGCGCGCCCCCCCCCCCCCCCCCCCATCCCCCCGCCCACCCACCTCCGCCCCCCCCACCCCGGCCCCCTCCCCTGCGCCCGTCGCCCACCCCCCCCCCACCCCCGCCCGCCCCGCGGCTCGGGGGGCGCAGCGCAACATCGGCAGCGGCGTCGGCCACGCGGCCGGGACATCCGAGAATCTTCTCAAGGCGACCTCGCACGCCATGCCGAGCTGCGCCACGCGGCGCGCGAGGCAGAGCGCAGCGCGGCACCTGAGGTCGCACGCATTCCTTCCAGCGCGACCACGGCCATAAATTCGGCCACGCTGGCGCGACAGCTTGCCGGCGAAGGCCGCGACATATTGTTGCGCCGCGCGGTGCGCGATGCAATGCAGGCGCAGTGCGTCGCCGGAGGTTGGTCTACTTGAGTCATTGCGAGCACGGGGAGAATGGAAACACCACCCCCGCGCACATGTGAAAAATGTTGCAGCAGCGGCATGAGACGCAACAAAATAAAACAACGCTGGTCCCCAAGCGTCGCGTTTGACCTGCCAAACGCCCGCCGGCGTTCTGGCCCAAGATGGAGCGGCACGAGGAAAATCACCCCTTGCCCGTCTCAGCGGCGACGCAGGTTGCTCCTCCGATTCTCCACCTGTCACGCCCTCGGGCTGAAACTCAAGACCCCCGTGGATGGCAACCTCCGCCATCCCCTGCCCGCGCCCCCTGCCGAAGCTCATCGACGTTTGCACCCACTAGCTCACGGTTTAGGACGCAGATGGCATTCGACGAGGCGATCGCGCCACGCAGGGCCGACGGAAGGAGAGCCGCCCAAAGCGCCCCCCCCCCCCCCCCCCCCCCCCCCATCCGCACCCACCCGCCCCCGCGGCCCCTCGTCTCTCCCACCGATCCTCATTCCCCCTGCTCTGCCGTCCTGTCATCCTGCTCCCTCCTTCGCCCGCGTATTTTTCCTCCTCCATGTTCCCCCGCCTTTTCCCCGGCTTCGCCCCCCCCCCCCGCGCCCCCCCCACGCCTCCTTCCCCCCCCCCCCCCCCCCCCCCCCCTCCCCGCCCCCGTCGCTCCTCAGGCCCCCCCCCCCCTCCGCCCTCCTTCCCCGTCCCCCGCTCCCCCTCGCCGTCCGCCGTCCCCCCCCCTTTGCCCCGCCCCCCTCGCCCCGCGCACCCGCCCCCGCGCCCCCCCCGACGCCGCCCGCCCCCCCCCCCCCCCACCCCACCCCCACCCACCCACCCACCCACCCGCCCCACCCCCCCCCACCCACCCACCCAGCAATCCGCTCTCTTCGCCGCCCTCGCACGCCGTCCTCGGCCCTCCCCCTCTCGCCCTCGCCGCCCACCCTGACCTTCCACCCCCCTGGTGCCCCCTCGCTTTCCGCCCCCCCCCCCCCACCACCACCACCCCACTCCCCACCCCCCGAGCCCCCGCCCCCCCTCCGAGCCCCCCCCTCCGAGCCCCCCCCGCCCCCCCCACAGCCCGGGGCGCCGCGAGCGCCCCTGGGAACGGCCGCCAAGTTCCCCGCCATTTTGTTAAGATTGCGATCCGAAACCAAAAAATACTATAGGAAATTGGCGATGGAATCCAAAATTCTGCGGGCGCGGCTCTCGGCGCAAATTGCGGCGGGCGTTTCTTGGAATCGCCCGGGCCCGCCCGTTCACGGACGCGCCGGGATGGGAGGGGGCAACGGGCGCCCTGGCACGACGCCGGGCCCCGGGCGCCCGCGGCCCGCGCGCGCGCCGAATGGCCATGACTGGGCGCCCCCGCGGGGGGCCCAGCGCAGCCACTTTCCGATGAACCACAATAACACGCTTGTAGCCCGCGCGACGCCGCTGGCAGCTGCACGCCTGTTTCACCAACGCAACGCGCAGCATCGCACCTCGCGTCATTTTCACCAGCCTGCACTTACTCCCCCGGGGGCGACTGAGCGCAGCGGGCCCCCCTTGAGCGCCCTCGTCGGCACGGCCAGGTTCAGAACAGGGACATCGAGTGGCATGTAAGGTAATTGGAGGCAACATGGAACTGGGCACCCCGCAGCTTCAGCTTAACCCAATTTGATGGCGCCAGCGGCGGCGGCGCCGGCGCCGGCGCCGTCTGCGCCGCAGGCGCGGCCGGCGCTGCGCCCCCCACGCGCGACGCGCGGGCTGGCAACGCAGTTGCCGGGCCCGCGGGCTGAACGCACGCACTTGACGCCGATGCCTCGGCTGGCACCCGCACCGCCGCCGGTGGAGCCGGCCACCCGCGGCCCCGGGAATCGGCGCTCCGCGCGGGGTAGCCATCGCGGGGGCCCCCAACCACGGCAGGGGGGCTCTGGAGGTGCCGCTCGCTATCAACCGCGCACGCGCCTGGCACAGGCCGCTGAGCGGCCGGCCCAGGCGACCCCCGATGTCTCGGTTGCGCAAGTGGTGAAGACGCCGGCGGTTGCGACGGCGCTGCCGAGGCCAGGGCGTCGAGGAAAAGCGCGCCCTCACTGGCGGCGCCGGGGTGGCAGTCCCGCGCGAGATGCTCCTCGGAGTCGCGATGGTGAAATTTTCGACGCACCCCAACAGGGCCCAATGGGTTGCAACGGCGGCCCGAGACCACGCCGCCGGCCCTGAACCCCCTTTCCCCGCGCCCTTGCACCCCCGAAGCCGACGAAATCACCCCGGTGGTCGTTCCCTAACATTTCGGCCAGGCACGCGCGGCGGCCCCTCGACCCTCCCCCAGCAGCGGCGCGCGGGCCCGCGGCCGCCGTCGCCGCGCCGCCGTGGCTCGCCGCGTTCGCGGGCCCAAAAGAGGCGCGCACCGCGAGATTCCACGAGAGCGTCGCGTTGTTCGGGGTCGCCGGCAGCGGCGCCCTCGCCGAGCGAGCTGGCGGCGTCGGAGTCGGCGCCCGAGTCGGCGGGGCGGCGCCGTCGCCGCGGGCGGGCTCGGCGCCGCTCCCAGGGCTGCGGGCCCATGCCATCCCAGCCCGATCTGGCCGCGGCGCCATAGGCACCTTATAGGCACCTTAAACCCGATCTCGCGCGGGCACACTCGCGAGGAACGCGCGGCGCCAGGCCGAGCGAACGGCCGAGGCAAGGTTGCCCGGCGAGCTCTCGACCTTGCGCCCAAGCCGTCGCAGCTGGCCAACCAGGCGCAACAGCTGCCACGAAAGTGGGCACGTGCGGGCTAGCGCAAAACGGCGGCGGAAAAGGCTGCGGCAGCGGGAAAACTGGCAGAGAGGGTGCATAGGTACCGTTCGAATGGGAACGGGAAGGAGCAAGGGAGGCAGGAGGGAAGGAAGCGGGAGGGATGAGGAGCAGGAGGGATGAGGAGCAGGAGGAAGAGGAGGAGGAGGAGGAGGAGCAGGAGGAGGAGCAGGAGGAGGAGGAGGGATGAGGAGCAGGAGGAGGAGGAGGAGCAGGAGGAGGAGGAGGAGCAGGAGGAGGAGCAGGAGGAGGAGCAGGACGGGGCGCCGCCTGGGCCGCGATGCGGCGTTGCGCCGAGGTGGCGGCCGCCTGGGCCGCCAGGACGGCCTGCTGCGACGCGGCCACCGCGGCCGCGGCCGCGGCAGACGCCGCGGAGACGCCGCCGCCGGCGCCGCCTGGGGCGACCCACCGGGGAGGGGTCGGCATCAGCGCTGCACCGGCAGGCGCCGAGGTCGGGGCAGCCCCTCGCCCTCACCCTCCCTCGCCCTCTGCCCCCGCGCCCTCCGCCCTCCGGCGCCCTCCGGCGCCCTCGCCCTCGCCCTCTCTAAATTGAGGGGGGGGGGGGGGCGCCCTCCGCCCTCCGCCCTCCGCGTCTGGCGGCTGCGCCTCGGCGCCGCGCGGCGCGGGCGGCGCCGCTGCTGGCGGCGGTGGCCGCGCGGAAGGCTGCGGCGTCGGGGTCGCCTGGGCGCCGCCGAACTGCCGGGGCGGAGGAGGATCGACGAGGATCGAGGAGGATCAAGGAGGAGGAGGAGGAGGAGGAGGAGGAAGAAGAGGAAAAAGAGGAGGAGGTCTAGAGGGACGAGGGGGAGGAGCAGGAGGATCGGGAGGACAACGTCTGAACAACGTTCCTGCCTTCAGGACTCACGAAGACTGAGGAGCAGAAGGAGGAGGAGGAGGATCGAGGAGGAGGAGGAGGAGGAGGATCGAGGAGGAGGAGGCCCAGCGGCCAACCCCACCCCCGCCAAACAGTGCGAGGGTGCCGCCCCGACAGATTCGAGACCCCTCCAAGTTTTGACGCACGAACAACACGCACCTATACCCATAGGTGGGGAGGAGGGCGCTATGGGTGCGTACTGTCGGGTGGGGATCCCCCCTCGAACGGGAACCTCCCACAGCATCCGACAACCCGCACCCATACCCATAGCCCGTCCTCCTCCCTCGGACCCTCCTAAGGGTGTGTGTGTGTGTGTGCTGTGTTGTGTTGTGTTGTGTAATGGTTTGTGGTGTGATGTGTTGTGTTGTGTTGTGCTGTGTTGTGTTGTGTTGTGTTGTGCTGTGTTGTGTCCTGTTATGTTATGTTGTGGTGTGGTGTATTGTGTATTGTGTTGTGTTAGGTTGTGCTGTGTTGTGTTGTGTTGTGTGTGTGTGTGTCTGTCCGTGCGTGTGTGTGTGTTTGTGTGTGTGCGTCTGCGTGTGCGTGTGGGTGTGGGTGTGCGCGCGTGTGTGTGCGCGTGTGTACATGCGTGCGTGCGTGTTGCGTGCGTCTTGCGTGCGCGCGAGCGTGCGTGCATGCGTGCGTGCGTGCGTGCGTACGTGCGCGTGCGTGCGTGCGTGCGTGTGCGCGCAGGCGTATGTCTGTGTGTTTGCGTGTCTATGTCTCTGTCTGTGTCTGTGTCGGTGTCTGTGTCTGTGTCTGTGTCTGTGTCTGGGCTCGTGTCTGTGCCTGTGCCTGTGTCTGTGTCTGTGTCTGTGTCTGTGTCTGTGTCTGTGTCTGTGTCTGTTGTTGTGTTATTCATGGTTGTGTTTGTGTTTATGTGTGTGTGTTTGTGTTTGTGTTTGTGTTTGTGTCTGTGTTTGTGTTTGTGTTTGTGTTTGTGTGTGTGGTTGTGTTTTCTGTTTGTCTTTATGTTTGGGCTGGTGTTGGTGGTTTTGGTTGTGTTTGTGTTTGTGCTTGTGGTTGTGGTTGTGGTTGTGGTTGTGTGTGTTACTGTGGCTGTGTCTGTGTTTGTGCTTGTGTTTGTGTTTGTGTTTGTGATTGTGGTTGTGAGTGTGATTGTGCTTGTGTTTGTGTTTGTGTCTGTGTTTGTGCTGGTGCTGGTGGTTCTGGTTGTGTTTGTGTTTGTGGTTGTGGTTGTGGTTGTGGTTGTGGTTGTGTTTTTGTGTTTGTGTTTGTGGTTGTGTTTGTGTTTGTGTTTGTGGTCGTGTTTGTGGTTGTGGTTGTGGTTGTGATTGTGGTCGTGATTGTGTGTGTTTGTGTGTGGTTGCGGTTGTGTTTGTGTGTGTTTGCGTGTGTGTGTGTGTGTGTTTGTGTGTGTCGTTATGTTTGTGTCTGTGTTTGTGGTTGTGCTTGTGTTTGGGGTTGTAGTTGTGGTTGTGGTTGTGCGTGATTGTTTTGTATGTTTGTTTGTGCTTGTGTTTGTGTGTGCGTTGTTGTGTGTGTGCTTGTGTTTGTGTTTGTGTTTGTGTTTGTGTTTGTGTTTGTGTTTGTGTTTGTGTTTGTGGTTGTATGTGTGTTTGTGTTTGTGTTTGTGTTTATGTCGTTGTGTGTGTGTGTGCGGACGGGCGGGCGGGCGGGCGGGTGTGCGTGAGTGCGTGCGTGCGTGCGTGCGTGTGTGTGTGCGTCTGTGTGTAAGTGCGTGTCTGTGAGTGCGGTGTGTCTGGTGCGCGTGGTGTGTGTGTGTGTTGTGTGTGGTGCGTGTGTTGTGTGTGGTGTGTGTTGTGTGTGTTGTGTGTGCGTGTGTGTGGTGGGTATCTGTTGTGTGTGCGTATGCGTGTGCGTGTGCGTGCGCGTGTGCGTGTGCGTGTGGGTGTGTGCGTGTGCGTGCGCGTGCGCGTGCGCGTGCGAGTGCGTGCGCGCGCGCGCGTGCGTGCGTGCGTGCGTGCGTGCGTGCGGGTGTGCGTGTGTGTGCGTTGTTCGTTCGTCGGAGGCTGGCCTCGCGCGCACCCGCGCGGCAGGCGGCCACCCGCGCCGAAGACGACAAACACAAAGCAACAGCAACGACAGCGGCACGGCAAGACGAGGGTCGAGGGTCGAGGGTCGAAGGTCGAGGAATCGAGGGTCCAGGGTCAAGAAGTCGAGGGATAGAGGGTCGAGGAATCGAGGGATCAAGGAGCCGAGGAGTCGAGGAGTCGAGGGATCGAGGAATCGAGGAATCGAGGCATCGAGAGTCGAGGGATCGAGTCGAAGAATCGAGGGTCGAGAAGGAGAGGAGAGGAGGAGCGAGGAGAAGGAGAAGGAAGAGGACGAAGATAAGGACGACAACGACGAAAACAAAAACTAGGAAAGCGAGGATCGGGGAAAAGAGGGGGAAGAGGAGGGGAAAAGCGGAGGGGGCGATCAAGGATCTAGTGCTTATAGCAACTTGCTGAGGCTGGACCCGCGGGAACCTCCAGTGGCCTCCCGAAATCTCCCTCGGGGCGGGGATGCTCGGCTTGGCTGGGGGTGCACCTCGATTATCACACGCCGGCGCCATAAACACCACCACCACCTCCTCCTCCTCCTCCTCCTCCTCCTCCTCCTCCTCCTCCTCCTCCTCCTCCTCCTCCTCCTCCTCTCCTCCTCCTCCTCCTAACTCCTACTCCTACTCCTATCCTTATTCCTTATTAGAATATACTCCTACTCCCCCCTCAGGCCGGCCATTAGGGGCCGCATCCGGGGGGTCCCATCCTAACCTGTAAAAAACAATACAAAATCAACATTTTTCTTATTTTTTCCTCTCGACATGGACGTCCTGTCGTCCACGGCGATAATCCATTGCAAAAAATACCACAAAGAGCACACGCGCGCGTTCATGTCAGAATCCTACCGAACACCGTGTGTTTGCAAGCATTTCAACATAAAAACATCAAAAACCCAATGCTTTTTCACAAAATTGTACAAATTTCCCGCCCGGGCTCTCTTGCTGAAATCATAGGAAAACCATAGGAATCTTAAGAATTCTGTCAAATCCAGCGATTTCACGTCATCGCGCGGTGCACTCGCGATGCTCTGTCATGGACCCAGGCCGCGAATCCTGTGCAAAAAATGCCACAAAGAGCACACTCGCGCGTTCATGTCAGAATCCTACCGAACACCGTGTGTTTGCAAGCATTTCAACATAAAAACATCAAAAACCCAATGCTTTTTCACAAAAATGCTTTGGGGTGTCCTGTCAGACCGTCGGGCTTCCTCCGGCCACCTCTGGCTTCCTGCGGTGTACCGGGCCATTCTCGACTCGTCTGGCAATGCGTGCGCGGCATTCAACACGCGCTCGCCAGTTCCCGTCGGCAACCGCCATCGCGGCCGCATCAGCTGTACCAAACCGGCTGGCCGGTGTGACTTCGGCCCCCAGTTGTGCCAGCTTTGCTTCTTTTGTTGTGGGAGGGCGGGTGGGACTGGGCATGCCATGCTTGACTCGCTCGAGCTGGCTAGCTTGACTCCTACTCCTACTCCTCCTCCTCCTCCTCCTCCTCCTGCCAACTCCTCCTCCGTTCCTGCTCCCTTCTCGTCCTCGTCCTCGTCTTCCTCCTCCTCCGTGTCCACCTCCTCCCTTCCTTCTCATCCTCCTCCTCCTGTGCCTCCTCCTCCTCCGCATCACCGTACACCTTCCAGAGGTTGAACGATGAAGAGGGGGAAAGACCGAAGATCGATCATTGAGGGGCGCACGCAACCCTCCAGAGAAGGAAGAGAAGGAGAGGAGGAGGAAGAGGGCCAATGCAAACCTAAGATGGAATAACGATGTTGAGATACGCTTTTCCTCCAAATGTCCTCTTTCCTTTCATTGGGCCCTATAAGAATGCATGTTCATTGCGAAAAGCGCACCATATGTAGACAACCGTCTGATCAGAGTGAGGGGGCTGAACCGAACGGTCATTCCCTGTCCCTGGGTGCGTGGCTGAAATGGAATTCCGCGATGCGAATTATTGTTGTTGTTGGTGTTGTTGTTGGTGCTGTTGTTTTTTCGGTTGTGGGTTGTTGGTTGGTTGTTGGTTGGTTGTTGGTTGTTGGTTGTTGGTTGTTTGTTGTTTGTTGTTTGTTGTTTGTTGTTGTCGTCGTCCCACCCGCGACCCACCCGCGACCCATCCCGCGACCCACCCCGCGACCCACCCGCGACCCACCCCGCGACCCACCCGCGACCCACCCCGCGACCCACACGCGACCCACCCGCGACCCACCCGCGACCCACCCCGCGACCCGCCCGCGACCCACCCCGAGACCCACCGGCGACCCACCCGCGACCCACCAGCGACCCACCCGCGACCCACCCGCGACCCACCCCGCGACCCACCCCGCGACCCACCCGCGACCCACTCGCGAACCACCGCGACCCACCCGCGACCCACCCGCGACCCACCCCACGACCCACCCAAAAGTTTCGGCGCCTGCAGCGGGCTTCTTTTGCACTCGTTCCAGGTGGAGAACCTGCGACCCATCCGCGACCCAAACCGCGTTCAGTGTACAAATCAAGTTTTTCGG